ATTTAAATACTTATTTTTCATTATTTAGGTGTAAGCCACGCAGACGATGTACTACTGCTCTTCAATTACTTTAAAGAAAAGAGAACAAATCAGGATGACCTCTTGATGAGGGACGCTCTTCTTGATATGATACAAAGTTATATGACAGTTGGGTAAGCAGTTACCAATAAATAATAATTAATAATAAATAAAAAATCGTTTTAAATAAAACTATCTTTTCGGATTTTTGAAAAAAACCGAAAAGATAGTTTTATTTAAAATGTCAAGTATTCGCGTAAATCTAAGAAAATATTAAATAAAAAATCAATTAATTTTCTTATTCATTTGACTACATATTACTTCAGATAATAAAGCAGTGGTAGCCCAGTGGTAACGCGCTCGCTTAGGAAACCGAGTGAAACGGTTTCAAATTCCGGGTCCCGCACCTCAATATTCTTTTGCAAATCATTTCGAACATGATTACAATTTATCTTACGTTGAAGAAAAATATCGTGAAGAAATCTGCATGTCTGAGAAAACCTAGCAAGTTTTCGAAAGACATGTGATGTCCGCCAACCCACACTTGGCTTGGATCTCCTTCATATTGAAGGGAGGCCCAGCAGTGGGATGTTAAAAAGTGCTGAATACAGATTACTTCGCCAATGTCTCGTAAAATGGAAACAGTCCCTCTTGTTTCGCTACGTTTGTTCCTATGTGTCTTATGGCCGATTTCACCAACGTCACCTAAGTTTAAGGGATCCCCTAAGCATGATTAGGGGGCTGTTAGGGGACAGTTTCTGTTTCACCGACAGATAGGGGTCCCCTAAATGTTAAAATGCCACCTAAATATAGGTACTAGAAATACTGGCTCTGACGATGGTAAAACGCAATTTAATTAAGGGGCTAGTTTAGGGGAACTTTTAAGCTAGGGATCCCATACGTAGGTGGTATCTTATGGGATGCTGGTGAAATCGGACATTAGAGAGATTAAATGATTAATCTAAGAATTGATTAGAAGATTTACCACAAACAACCAGTTTTTTTTAGTATACATTGAGATGTAGGTAGGTACGTTGTTCAAGCATAGCAAAAAATGTAATTTGAACTATTATGTAGATACATTGTCTCAAGTTTCGGAGTTAAGGTCATCATTGAGCTATCGGCTTACCAGATAAAAAATATAGGTACCTATTGTATTTAATAAAAAATAAAAATGTATAGCCAAGAATACTATTTATGGCTGAGGACTTTATTTTTAGACTTCTCAGACTTTCTTATCGTACTTCTTACTCCTTCTTTTGCTTTTCACCTTTTCCTTTCGGCTTATATACCGTTTACTCTAAGGATTTCATAATGATACATAAAACTTGTAATGCAATTAAATTTAAATATTTGATGCAGCTGGAACTTTTGTATTTTGTAGTTGTTTACTTTTTGAACTTCTATTTGTTTATTAAATAAATCAGTGTTTTTGTTAAGCCTACAGATGTAAATTGAGCTTAATAGATTGTATACATAGTTAAGTGGCTACATATAATGTAACACATAAGCCATAATCACGGGCAAAGTCGAACGCAAAAACTAGTATAACGCAATAATAGTCCTATAAAAATACTGAGATCATCTATTATTGCATCATTTAAAGCTTAATCCAATGTAATTTTTAAACTATTAAAATGTGCATGTGCTCCGAAATATATTAACTCTCTTATAAGTGGTAAAATAACTAAAATACCAAACAAATATTCAGAAACTTCAAAATTAAAAGTTTACAGTAAAATTATTCCATCCTTAGGACCTTTTTTTAATTATATTACACTACCCTTGAGGCAAACCGACCCTGACGACACATTTAGGTCAGTTTGTAGTGATCCTACTTGCTATGCCAGCAGTCGCGGGTTCGAGTCCCGCTGGGGGAATTCATTTGTATGATGAGCACGAATATTTGTATTACTTCTTTGGCGTAACAGAACAAAGATAGCTAAAGATTTCATCCCGTATGTCTCAACTCTCTGTAAAAGGAATGCTGCTTTTTGGCATCAATCATCATGTCGCTTTTTGGCTGTCGGTATGCGCGCGCATCGTAAAAATTTTACTCTTATATTTTTTCCAAACGTGCCAAAAGAAGTATACCTTCAAAAATACAATCCCCAGTAGACAACATATTCACAAAAAAATATAGAGAGAAGTTAAGCATGTAGGTACTTCCTTTTTGAAGTCAGAAAAAAATATACATACCTAGGCTCTATGCGAGAATGCGATAATGTATCATGCATAATTTATTTAGGAAATACCTATTTGAACGTATTATCGACGTCTTCTCTCAGACTGAGCAAACCATTGCCGTATTGTTCCAACACAATAGAAATGTGGAATAGATTAAGACTGTTTGATATGCTTCACGAGACCCGGCTATAGTTAATATTTGCTCGTTGTTTGTCACGATCTGATACAGTTTAGGCAGCATCTATACCCAATTTTGACGACACGTTTGGCTCAGTTTGTAGTGGCCCTACTCGCTGTGCCAGCGGTCGCGGGTTCGAGACCCGCTGGGAGCATTCATTCGTGTGATGAGCACGAATGTTTGTACTCCTGTCATGGGTGTTTATATTTATAATATGTATGTATTTAAAGTTATATATGTGTAGTGTATCAACTATCCGGTATCCATAACACAAGCCTCGTAGCTTACCATGGAACTAGATGGTGCTGTGTGTTAATGTCCCAACATATATTATTATTAATTCTAGACTGTGTGACCTAATTTTAGGATATAAACAGATATTGTCTAAGATAATAATAACTACTGTTACTTCTGATCTGATTTAATTTTAGAGTTTTGATAAAATAAAAAATCATTTGCCGAATAAATAATAAGTATTTACCTAACCTTGTGAAATCCTCAATGCAGTACTCCATCCAAAATACATTATTACGTTTTAAGGTTTAATATGGATTTCTCAGAGATAATATATTTTCCTGCAGTAAAAAGTATCCTATGTGCTTACCCGGATAACCAGCTCTCCTCATACCAAATTTCATTAAAATCCCTCCAGTGGTTTTACCATGATGCGGTTACAGACAGACAGACAGACAAAAATTCTAATAACTATAGATTCGACCTCTGTATCGATAATAATGTCTATTTTAATAAGATTTTCCAAAAAATATTTAATGTGCAGATTCGGCTTAGTTACAATTTTGTCTAGATTTTTTTGCCAAATGCTCTAGTATGCCTATAGATGTATCTTGGGTTAGAGTCTGACCGAACCACTTATTGTAAATTCTGAACACCTGTTTTCGGAGAGCACAAACGCCTTCGGATCTGCGCTTCTCTCTGCGATCTCCTTCAGAGTCTTTCCTCATACCACCCCATTTGACTTTAAGAGAACGAGCTTGCCCACATTTCTAACTAGTTTGTTTAAAGTGTTCTTGTTTTTAAGTTTTTTTACTTTTGCAGAGTACCACGTTTACCAAATGCACCTGAGTGGCAACAAGTGAAACCGGGTAAAGAAATAAACTATCTAGAGATAGCTGGACCTAATAATATAGAAATGAAGACCAGCGAGGACTTCGGGCAGAAATCCTTCTGGGACAGTCTAGGGTTTATAGAAAATGAAAACTACATGGTTCATGTTAGAGATGAACTGTAACTTTCCAAGTTTTGTATCGATTTTTTTCAAATAAGAATTTTATCAATTAGAATAAATATCAAATAGATAACTGCTACAAATATTATATTTTTTAGATTTATATTAATCTGTTAAAAACAGATAAATAATTCAGCTACTTTTTTTGCAATCAGGTACTAATTACTAAACTGTACATTTAAAAAGTAAATTGATTTATTTTTCATATTTACAACTTTTTTATTAAAAACACCTCACATATTCTTTCTAAACTTGTTCCTTAATCGTCTTTTTATGAAAAGCGCTTTGAACTTATGATATAAATATAATAAACAAAATGATTTTTTTTACAAATAAATAACTTTAGGAGTAAATAAAAGTCTGATAAGAATAAAAATCTTTTATTTCAACCACACACCATTAAACCTTACATCATAAATATTTTAAAAAACAACTATTTAAGCAAATGTTGATTAGTTAACAATAGTAAAATACTAACAGATGTTTAATCCTGGAAGTATAAAAATGCAAATTGTCACAAGTTGACCTAAAATGGATGATTGTATCTCATTATTCATGAAAGATTGTGAATATCTTTGATCAACTTAAGTGACATACTATATATACAACATTTGTAATATCTATGGACAAAATTATTTTTCATATTATTCCAAACTTACATTATATAAGCATTGTGTTTGCATAAGTGATTATAAGCAAATTGTATTTTTTTTTCAAAAGACCAGGGCAAACTGGATCTAGAATTTAAGAAGTAAACAAGGAAGCCAAGGTAGAAAAAAACTTTCCCATGTATTAATATTACCTACAAAACATCAGTCATCACACAAAAAATATAACATAAGCCAACTCAAAATATAATCAGACTTTTAGACATTAGACAATGAGACATTACAATAATCAGTAATTTAACCAACCAGTACAATGTTCGACATAAACAAAAAAAAAATATGAACTGTGAAAGATTACATGGTGAGAGATGCATGTCTGTTGCACACAAATATTTTGTTCAAAAAATTGTTACTTTATCACTATTTTGTATACAAACATACATACATATAAATTATATATGTATTTAAAAATAGCTACTTAATTAGTCTCAAATTACTAATGCTTAGATTTCATTATTTATATTCTATGAATCCTTAAAATGCTGTAAATATTGTTAAATTATTCCAAAGATAATCAATACATTCAAGGCTTAAGTTGAATCACAGCACATTACATCAGCAGTTAAATTTAGAGAATTAGATGATTAGCTCTAATTAACCAATAGGAATATTATTATATTTAGATTTTAAAAAAATATGTCTACCAATGAATATATATTTATTATTGGCATTAATAGCCAAATTTATTCATAGCTGGTATTCAATCATCTTTCTTATCGCCTCCAGCAATTGTAATTTTCTTCTGCAGCTTACTATGCTCCTCAGAGAGCCTGTCATATTCACGATTAAGGCTTTCGGCTTGAGATTTTACAGCTTCTTTATCCTTCTTTTCTTTAGCTAATTCCTTTTCTAGCACTAAAATTTGTGCTCTCAAATCTTCAACTTCTTTCTTTGCTACTTCATCACCAGCACCTTGTTTATCGAGAAGAGTCCTCGCAGCAGCAGATGCACTTTGAGCCTGACGGAAGTTAGCTTCAGATTGAGCGTATAGACCGGCCAACTCGCAAATCATTTGGATCAAGCGACGGATCACAACAAGAAGGAATAGGGCTATTCCAGAAATATAAAAGTTTCGCTGTGCACGGAATAATCGCATGTTACCTTGCATTTCGGCATCCAAGTGTTGATGGTCAGAAGAATCCATGTTTGAGTATTTCTGCATTTCTCGAATTGCATCCAGCAGGCATAGTATCAAAACTCCAATCAAGACCACAAAGTATATTGATGCTTGTCCGCTTATATAAGCCAAAAACTTTGATTTGAAAAACTTGTTCCATCTTGCAGGACTTGCAATCGGTAAAGTTAGCAATAGTACGAATGCTATTTCTGCGTACAGAAATGAAGCAATAATAGTCCACTGAAGACTCATGGCGACTTTTACAATACTTCTATTCCACTAAGCAGGTAGTCGCTATTCGCTAAACTTATACCGTTCAGTTTTGACAAAATTCTGACGATAAATGAAATACAATGCTGCAATATGAATTACTTCGAGAATATCGGTGACTCAACACAACAGAGTGCAAAGTCAAATTTGTCATATATTGACATGACGTGTACTTATCTAATATGTATACAAAAAAACTTTATACTTTACGATTAAACTTTGAAATAAATTTAATCATTATAAACAAAAAAAATAAAAATTTGAAGTTTATACTTTTTTTTTTATTATTAATATTAATAGTAGTTTTCATTTTATAAATAAATATGTTATAAATATACACACATATATATATAAGTTTAATTTTTTGCGTAAAATGGAGTTTAATGTCATTTTGACAATTGATTTGTCGTTTGATAGTACTTATTTAGTCACCGCAGCTACTGACGTCATCTTTACTAAATAAAGGAATACTTTGAAAAGTCTCAAAATTTATTAGAAAATAAGTCTTAAATACTCATTTTCCTTCTTAATAATATGGCAGACCCCAAGTATGAAAATCTTCCTGGGATAGTAAGTACATTCCAGCTATTCAGTGTTAGATTATTGATTTTGTAACCTGTGAAGTTATTATGAAAACGATAAATTTGTAGGCTTATGACCAGCCTGATGTGTATGAAACCGGTGATTTGCCAGAAGCTGACCAGCAAGAACAATTCGAGGAGGAAGAAAATGAGTCGATCGAACAGCTGCATCTTTCTGTTAAAGATTCATTCAATAAATTCAAAGGCAAATTTCTTACGGGAAACGTTGACTTTTCGGATAGATTGAGCAGAAAATCTCGAATCGGGTACAGGTATTAATATGTACTACGCATACGCCTTAATAAATTGCTTTTCTATGAAACATTATGCCAAGTTTTATATTTTCATAGGTAGTTTTATATTTTATTTGTTTTATTAACAAAACATAAATTAACGGTAGAGCTGGCGAATGGGAATTAGCTGCTCAAGGAGAACCTGAAACATCACTGGAGCGCTACAATAGACTTCGTTGTGAGTTCTCAGAATTGTTAGAACAGGTTGCAGTACAAGAGAACAAAGCCAGTGAAAGTGAAAAGGTATAATAGCAAAATTATTAAATTATGAATTATGTTAATTCAATTAGATGAGATGATAATATTATCATTTTGAAAAAAATCATGGTAATAATAGAAAACAATGTACATGCTTAAATATATGAACAAAATAAACTTAAAATATTTTTTTGGAATTGTTTTGAAGGAAGAACACTCAAAATTAGCAGCTCAGATTAATACAACTAAGAAACTTTTAGAAGAATTGAAACTAGAAGAGGGAGAGCACATTGATCCTAAAGCCGAGAAACTAAAGTAAGTACAAATTTCACTTTTTTACAATAACAATATTAAAAACAAACACTATAGTTGCTCAATTGTTTTTTTAATTTACTTAAGCTCCATACATAATTTTTGTGTAGCCCTCATGTGTCCCTTAAGGCATTGAGTATTAAAATCTAGATTTTAACCAATGGTGTCAAACACCTAAGTTCCAATATTGAACCATTAAAGGATTAAGTTTTGAAAAAGTTTCTTTTATGCTTATATAATAAGAATATGCTTCAATAATATCAAATGTTCATGTGTCTGTTTGCTGAATTATCTATAATATAAAAATGAATAGCTGAATGTGTTGCTAAGCGTAAATCTTGAGAGCAGCTGAACCGATTTTGCTAATTCTTTTTTTAGAATATTCCTTGAAGTACGAGGATGGTTCTTAAGGAGAGAAAAATTTAATAAATTGCCTGAAAGAATCTAAAAACAACACTTCTCTATACGCCCATACAAAAGATTCATAATAATACTTAAAAGTCAAGTTGGACTTTAATACCATACCATAAAGTTCAAGTGTTAGTGGAGAGGTTCCGGAAAGGCAAAACAATTGAGTGATGTTAGTATCGTATAAATATTAATGTCAATATTTGTCAATATTTATACAATGGACAAATCTATACAGATAAATTAAATTGAAGTGTCTATTTAAAATGTCAAAATAACAGCTTTTTACTAAATGCATATGGATGTATACACTATACATATACCAAAACAACATTTTTTACAATTTTTGTCTGTCTGTTTGTTCAAGCTAATCTCTGAAATGGATAAGCCGATTTTGACTGGACTTTCACTGGCAGATAGGTGATGTAATAAGGAGTAACTTAGGCTACTTTTATTTTAGAAAAAAAATAGGGTGTCCACAAAAAAAATTAAAACCAATGAAAAATTTAATAATATCCGATTCAAATAGGGAAGTTGTATACATACCCTAGGGACGAACCCGAGCGAAGCGAGGGTGAGTCGCTAGTTTTATATAAATAAATTAAGATATAGCTAATCTCATCTTTTATATTTTATTCTTAGGATAAAAATTACTTTATTTTTAAACATTTTACGAACAATGAAAAATTTTACATCTCCAGAGAGTACCTGAGTGGAAATGGTAAAAAGAAACATGGTGAAATTGTGACTGCACATTTAAAACTTAAGCCAGAGGTCAATCTTGCACAGACAACACGGATAGCACAATTGGAACACAGGTAATATCTACATTCATACTAATATTTTAAATGTGAAAGTGTGTTTGTTTGTCCTTCTTTCACATTGAAACAGAGCAACAAATTGGTGCGATTTTCTGTGGAGATAGTTAGAGGGCTGGAGTGTAATATAGTGTTATGTATTATAAATAATATATTACGTAATATAGTGATATATATAATAATAGTTGATGAAGAATATAGTAAGAATGATGCAGGTGGAACTGCTGGAAAATGTTAGTTGGTCATATTTTAATAAATTATGACATAAATATTTAATATTTTTGATTTCAAAAATATTTAAATTACATTAATTATAGGTCTTATCATCATTCTTATCATCTCTTTGTTAAATTAATTTTATTATGTGGGATTGTTACAATGAATTAATGTATTTTTTTTTATTATGTACTTATGTAAAAGCAGTGGTAGCCCAACAAATCATTACCAACATGATTACCACTTGTCTTTGTTTGTCTAACTTTTCGAAAGACATGTGAAGTCAGCCAACACACACCTGGCCAGATGTACAGAAAAAAAAGCAAATTATTCTTAGATTATAATAAGAAATAAGAAAATAGGGAAGTGTGCAAAACTTTATTAAAACAGTTATTATACACATACTAAATTTCCTCAGTACTATAGTTAATCACTAATATATTTTTTTATTAGACTACACAAATTGGAGCAAGCAGCTGGTGTGAGAGACGAAGAAGCATTTCGCAGACTACAGACTGCTACTGGAGAGGTTTGTTTTAAATTATTTTCTGTATGGAAAATGAAATAGAATTATGGCATAAGTTGATTTACATTTGGCAGGTAACCCTATGTGGCGCTGCCGCAGCCCTCGCGAACCAAGCCACGTTGCTCCGGCCCGCGGACCTGGCGGCCGCTGAAGCGAGGATCACATCCCTCCTAACGAACGTGGAAGCCCTCAAAGCAGCTGTGAAACCAGCTGAACCAGAGGTCGAAGCAAAGGTTTGTGGCTCAGACTAAAGAATTATAAAGATTATAGACTGAGCCCGCCAGAAAAAATGTGAAAGTTAAATATATAGTAGCGTGATTTTCTGTTTATCTACTAGCGACTCATGCTTCCGTTCGGGTTCGTCCTTAGATACGCTTTAACGGTTAGTATGAAATGGAAAAACTGTGAAAAACAAATCCGTCCCGCGGGAACCGTACAGTTTTTCAGGTTAAAAAGTAATGTGCTATTCCAGACTATAATCTATCTCTGTGCCAAATTTTATCCAGATCTGTTCAGCCGTTCTGGCGTGAAAGAGTAATGAACATCCATCCTCACAAACTTTCACATCTATACATAAAATAAAATTCTAACTGAGCCGAATCTGTACATACTAATATTATAAATGTGAAAACATGTTTGTTTGTTTGTCCTTCTTTCATGTCGAAACAGAGTGACGGATTAGCGTGATTTTTTGTGTGGCTAGAGAGTGACGTAGGCATTTTTTACCGCGGGAGATTATCTCATTACCACGGGGAACGCGTTATATACGAGTAATAAAAACCCAAAAAAATATTTATGATCAGAATTGCTTGAAACTTGGTATTCCGTATTAACGCTCTTCAATACAATTAAATAAGTACGTCTTTTAGCATTTTTCAAAAGTCATCCCATAAGGAGGTAAAATAGAGGATTAAAGATTTTATGAAAACTTACCTTTAAAATAAAAAATAAAACAATACGTATAATAGATTTTTAGCGCGAGCGAAGCCGCGGGTTCTCCTAGTTAAATATATTTTCGAAAATCGTATTGGAATTGTCATTTTTATCGATACAGAGGCTGAATCTACAATTTATAGAATTTTTGTCTGTCTGTCCGCATCATGAGAAAACCACTGGACAGATTTTGATGAAATTGGGTATGATGATCGCTGGTTACCCGGAACAACATATAGAATAGTTTACTGCGGGAAAATATCTCATCTCTGAGAAATCTATACTAGACTTTAAAACGTAAAATAATAAAATCTAGATACAATTTTTAATATGATTAATGGTTTAAAATATGAATAAGGATTTTATTTCGTAAAGATTACTTTTTTTATTTTTCTTTTACAGGTGAAGGAATTACACAAACTATTGATACAAATAGATGGTGTATCACATTCCGAAATTTTAGAACGCATGGAGGCGCTCGAAGCTCTACACAATCAAGGTGAACTACATGCTTTCTCTGATTACTTTAAAAAAATTATTAACAATAAAGATCATGGAAAATGATGAAACAGATAAACATGGCTTAATCCATAATAAGTACTTTAGTACTTTACAATGCTAAGCCAAATCTTACTATGTATATTTATATTATGTATCTAAGTGCTAGCAAAGAATAACTTGTCTTACCGTGAAGGAAAACATCGTGAGGATACCTGCATGTCTAAGAGAACCTAGCAAGTTTTCGAAAGACATGTGAAGTCCGCCCGCACTTGGTCCGCGTGGTGGACTATGGCCTGATACCCCTCGTATTGACGGGAGGCCTGTGCCCAGCAGTGGTACATTAAAAAGGTTGAATACAGGTTAAAAGAATATTTAACATAAGTCATAACTAATTTACATTATCCATTCTCTGTGATAGTTCCAAGCCCTGTTGTTAGACACATTATATCATAGCATGAATTTTAAATATATTTTGTTTTATTTTCAGCAAGTAACTTCGGCAAATCGTTAACAGAACTAGAAACACTGCAAAGTACCATAGCAGGAGGTGTTCAAAACAACAAGGAACTGTTACAAGGAGTCCAAGAAGTCTTTGCACACAACATCGACAGCTTACAAAAGGAAATAAAGAAATTAGACGAGAGAATCTCTAAATTAGCCTCGGCGTGATGTTCAAAATTGTATAGATGTGCTTAAATTTGATTTATCATCTTTAGATTCGGGGTTGCTATATGAAAATATTCTATTGGCGATTTTAAATTATTTAAAAGTTTTAATGTTATGTGGCTAATTGAAATTGCACTGAAAAAACAAATACATATACAATATACATATATATGTATTAATTTAATGATGAAAATTTATAAAATTCATTTAAGGCTGATATCCCTTTGCTAAATTGAGAAACAGGTACTTTGAAGTTTATGACTACTAATTTAACTGAAAAAAGCAGTTTTAAAAGAATTGAGTTTCTTCCTCTCATTGTGATTGACAATGCAATAGTTTAATAATTGAACCAAGCTATTTTCATTTCAATAAGAACAAATATTTTGGACCATTAAGTTTGGACTCTGATCCTATGTCATAATCTATCAGGTATATCAATCAGGTGCTATATCTGATTAAAAAAATGATTTAAAACAAAATATCTAGATTAATAAGTAACTTTATGAGAAAAAGCTATTGTTGAAAATACCAACCACTAAACAAATAATAGAAATGTAAGTTATGTCTATTTATATTGTTAAAATCGCCATATCTACACAAATCCAATGAATTTTAAGTTCTGAAAGAAGTCAAAGCAGCTATATGTAAGTTAAATCATTTTTCACTATATTTTTTAAATACATATAACTTATTATTACTCATAATCTCATATCACATTTAAACTTGTTAACCAATCTACATATAAACAAATGTATGCTCAGTACCGAACGTTCAACTGAGCTTAGGTAGACTGCTTAAATAATTTATTTAATTAAAAATAAAGCAATTATTAAAGACTTGTATTTTATTTTATAACACCTGTTATTAATAAGCTGTGTTAAGATTTCAAAACCTAGTGAAGTTGCATATAGGATTTCTCAATTCTCAGATTTTCATGTATAAAACATAATCAATAGATGACATGTTTGGCTCAGTTTGTAGTGAGTAGTGACCCTACTTGCTGTGCCAGCGGTCGGGGGTTCGACTCCCGTTGGGGGCACTCATTTGTGTGATAAGCACTAATCTTTGTACTAATCATGGGTGTTTATATTTATAATATGTATGTATTAAAAGTTATATATGTGTAGCATATCAACTATCTGGTATCCATAACCAAGACTCGTAGCTTACCATGGAACTAGATGGTGGTGTTGTCTCAACAACAAATACCCCCTTACCATCAAGAACATCAGAAATGAAACCTGCATGTTTGAGAAAACAACTAGGTCTCATATTTTAAAATAATTAACAGAAAGATAATACAACACTAATTCACATCATTAACTAATATATTTAGGAGATGAAGGACATGTAGCAGCAACACTCTTTTGAATATTGCTTATAGTAACACTAAAAATCTATGCAATTATAATCTCAGATAATAATCTCAGAGTTTTTATTATACTAAATTTTCAAAAAATATTTAAAAAACATATTTTAAATTAATAGCAATACTCTAAATCTATTTCTTTATGCAAATGAAATGAAACAGTTTACAGATTTTTTAAGTATTTATTAAAAGTATTTAGAACCTAAGCTTCTGGAAGAACCACTTGTTCTTTCCGCTCTTGTATCTTTCTTCAAAACGTACTCTAGTATTGAAACGAAGCTTCTTACGCTTAGCGGGATCTTTAAGGTCCTTTGCACTGAATTTCTCAAAGCTGAAGTCAACTGAGTAGCGGGTTGGCATAAGGTGATTGTAGTTGACAACCTGAAAAGAAAATTTAAAATTATATATTAATTAAATTTGATTAAAAAATTATTTTGAAATAAAATTTGTGTATAAAAATAACAATAATTGTACAGATCATATGCCAAAAATATCTATCATAATATTATTTTACAGTGATTTAGGTGGTACTTCTACAGGAAAGATGTAAAAGTTTCTACATATGCATCTTATTGTATAAAAATGAATCGCTGAATGTGTTGGTAAGCGCAAATCTCGAGAGCAGCTGAACCGATTTCGCTAATTCTCTTTTTAGAATATTCCTTGAAGTACGAGGATGGTCCTTACGGAGAGAAAAATTTAAAAAATTGCCTGAAAAAGTCTAGAAAGAACACTTTTCTATACTCCCATACAAAAGATTTGTAATAATACTTGAGTCAATTTGAACTTTTATACCATACCATAAAGTTTAAATGTTAGTGGAGAGGTTCCGAGAAAGCAAAACAATTGAGTGACGTTAGTATCGTATAAATATTAATGTCAATATTTGTCAATACTATTAACAAAAAAAAAAAATTTATATGGCTAACGCTGGCTAATAACTATTTATATCTATTTAAAACATGCCTAGCGACGAATCCGAGCGAAGCGAGGATGAGCCGCTAGTTAATTAATAATTTATATATTAGAAGAAATGAATAAGTGGTTGTGGGGATCATATACATTTTATTTTATAAGAATAATCAATCAATCTTCTTGCGTACCAGTTGAGTTGATTTTACAAGTTGTAAGGCAAACAAAGAAACAATGTTCCTTTAATTAATTATTAACAGAAACAGCTAAAATAACTGTTTCCCACCTTCAGTGCATTAGGTTTAAGGACTGTTTCCAATAGTAAAAGGTTATTGAGTCTCATAGGTGTTATCACTGATAAGTTGACAATAACATAACCTCAATAAAATTTAACTCACCTTCACGAAAGGCTTTACTTTGGAGCGCTTGTGAATTTTGTTTTTGCCCATTCGCTTGTGCACTTTACGGGGGTACCTGTCGATGCCGGCAACGAAAGCGTGGCCGTAGGGTTTGTCTGATGTCCCCTCATCGTAGTTTTTTACTACGATAGCCTTACGCCCTGCGTACCGGCCGCTGAGGACCAGCACCACCTTTCCCGGTTTCATAATCTTACCCATGTTGGGTTCTTCTGCAAACAAAAACTAACCTTCAAAATGATGTTTTTATAATTTGTTATTTTATTATTTAGTTGATAATTTGTAACACTTTTGTTTTAATGTATAGAATTCAGTCTTATTTTCTATTTATAGTACAATATTGGAAATGTTTTGATTAACTATTCGTATGTTGATATTGGTCACTTTTCAAAGTAAGATATGTTGAAAATGAACAGGAAAGGCAATAAAATATTTACACTGTGTCACAATAATAATCACAAATATATAGTTGAATTAAATTAGATTTCTTTCTTTCCACTTTTTCTCACAGATTTTATTGGATTTATTCTCAAATAATTTAGTAAAACTCACACTCTTAACCCGTCGACAAGAAAAGACCACAGAAAAAGAAAATACCACAGACAATAATATGACATTGACATTTAGTTGTCAACTAACATCTTGTTGTTTCTGGCCTGTGGTCAACTAACACAGAAGATAAATTTTAAGGTTAAAGAGGATACATACATGCGTCCGCATTTCAATTATTTTGTTTTATAAATAAAACATTTACAATACGAAATAACTTAAGATTAATTGAAGGATTTTTAGCTTCTAATTTTTTTTTGTTTTTTTTTTAATAAAAACATGATGATATTAACACAGTAAATTTAACACTGGTTGCACATCGAAAAGAAATTTAAGCAATGCAATTCATGATATTTTTTATTAAATACTCATATGCCTTTATTTTTTCTTTATTCAATTTCATATTATTAAAACAAGTAAACTATTGTAAGGTTGCATTTTTATATATTGTTTTAATAGAAAATAATATATTTGTTTAATTTGTAATGATTTATATATAACGCATTTACTTATGTGACCTTGGCTGATAGGAATGTGTTTTAAAAAAAATAAAAAAGGGCGGGGATTTTCATGTTTTCCCGCGCTTTTGCACAGAGATGTCGGTACTAGCGATGGGTCGTCGACGTATTTAGCGTGAACGAAACTAGACCGTTCATTTACTTTCGTAGACTAGTCGATCGACTAGTTCAAATCGTGGACTGTGGTTCACGTACGCTTCAATTTAGTTGTAGACGTTAGAAAGTCTATAGTTACTAGTTTACGTTGCGAGACGGACTGTCTTAGTCTATGAATTGAACTAGTTCATTTGAAATACGTGAACCTGAATTTGAAATACGTGAAACTGAGTCGAACTTGTCATTATGCAAATGAAACTTAAATATTTTTTTGTGTCCTTTATGCTATAAATATATTAAAGACTGGACCTCGCTTCGCTCGGGTCCGTCATCATATCGTTTATATGTTAATTTATGTGTTTACCTTGTTAACCTACTGTCATCATCCCAAATTTTTATTTAATCTGTCCAGTTGTTTTCGAGTGATTTGGTCACAGACAGACAAATTGTAAAAAATTCGTCCTCTGTATTGTTAAATTGATTAACAAAATATTTAATTTATAGATATTATATAAGTTAGAATTTTATTAAATGTATAGATAGATACATTTTACTCATTGTTTCTGTTATTTTTTAATTAGATGTATAAATATTATTTTTGTTTTAGTTGTTTATTTTTCTTTTTCTTGTCTTCTGCTTCTTATTTTTTTTGTTATATGTGAAAACTTGATTGGTTTATGTAATGTCTTGTTATTATTTATTTAATATCGTGCTATTTGTGGCATATGCCATAATACAGTTCTCCTAGTACGGCAATAGAGACTACCAGACGGCAGACCTTCTATGTTGACAAAAATATAAAATCAGTAATGATTGTTATGTATATATATAATATGTTTGTTTCTGTATTTAATATTGTTTACTGTAAATATTTTTTGGTCATAAAATATTATAATTAACATTATTAGCAGGTGTAAAACTAGTGAAATGATGGTAAAGCATTTCCAACTTTGTAAAGTCTACTACTAAGTTAAGTTAGTTGAAGGACGATGTCTATATTTGAATTTTATTGTTATAAGAATTATTAATGTTCAAATAAATTATAATACATCATATATTTTTTTTATTTTTACCCTTTGCGCCTAAGTAAAAATATTAATGAACAATAATATGAATATATATATATATATAGCTACGTATATACCTATATAGAAAGTTTCACACTATACAATAGAGATGGCGCTTTTTAAGCATTACCAGCTTCGACGACGAGTTGTACCTCTATTTATATATGTAGCAATATACTCTATGACGTGAACCGTCAAACCATCGACGCATCGTCGACCGGTTGATTGAACTAGTCCGTTCATTCAACGCCCATCGCTAGTCGGTACTCGGTACCACTATGTAGTGACTAGGCACGAATTGTTTGTAATACCGAAAATTATGATTATAAATTATGTAACTCACTGACGATTATAAAAGTACTGAATATAAGCAAGGAATATTTTGAAGTTTTATTAGGGACCCAACACTATATACATTTTTCATAGTTTTGTACGGGTTTGCTAAGCGATATAATAATTAAATCTCAATATTCAGCTTACAGGCAGTAAAAAGAGGCTTCTATTTCTTAAAGATAATACTCTTTCAATTTTACTAATTCACGTTATTCATAAACTTATTTTTACTTCAGAATACAATAAAGTTTCAAATATGGCTTTTCTTGGAGAGACTTCCATCCAGGATCTTTCCTGCTAGTGCTTACTCATAAAATCAATTAGAAAATAGGATATAGGCATGAACGAATTAACCACAATTCGTCCATGGATATATAGGTAATATTTTATAGACGGATTATAATAGACCATAGTTTATTATGCAGGTAATATTTATCTAATTTAATTAAAAAATAACTTATCTATGTAACCTGACTGCGACGAAGCCCAAAAGGAGAGTTGTCCTGATTTTTGACATAAAATGGTATGTATGTGCAAGTCGCAAGACAGTGGTAGCCCAGTGGTAACGCGTTTGCTTGAGAAACCGTGTGCGAAAGTGAAGCGGGTTCAAATCCTCGTCACGCATGTCTGATATTTGTATATGCGAATCATTACTAACGTGATTACCACTAGCCTTACGGTGAAGAAAAACATCCTGAGAAACCCTGCACGTCTGAAAACCTAGCAACTTTTCGAAGGAGATATGAAGCCTGATCACCCTTGTATTGAAGGGAGGCCCCTGCCTAGCAGTGCAACGTTAAAAAGGGCTAAATACACACACATACAACATGTACTTATGTGCGATGCCTTGTTCCCCGTTATTACCGAGCGGCTTAACCGATTTTGATGAATTATGTAAACTTGTTGTGCGAGAATAGCGAATTAAGGCGTCTATTTGATAGATTTTTTTTACATACATCTACAGTTGTAAATATTAATTACAGCTATAATAGTCTAGTTCGCTGGTTTGCTTTTATAACGCATTTTTTTTGTTGTTTGACGATACGTTTGGCTCAGTTTGTAGTGACCCTACTTGCGGTGTCAGCAGTCGCGTATTCGAGTCCCGCTGGGGGCATTCATTTGTGTGATGAGCACGAATATTTGCAGTCATGGGTGATTATATTTATAATATGTATGTATTTAAAAAGTTATATATGTGTAATGTATCAAGTATCTGGTATCCATAACACAAGCCTCGTAGCTTACCATGAAACTGAAGATGGTGCTGTGTGTTAATGTCCCAAGGTATTTATTTGTTTATTCAAATGTTAAATGAAAAAGTCATAGATTCTTGTTTAGTGGTTTTCGCGGTGGAATACTTATAAGCGAGCGAAATCGTAAGAAAATGTCTACTTATAATATAAATAAAAACTACATTTACTCTTGACTACACCTTTATAACAGGTCCAACAATAAAAAGGAATGAAAAAATAGGTCATTCTGTTTAATCAAAACACAGCTTGATTAATCGAGTTTAATATCAATAAAATAAGAAAATTATTTACACAAATTTTATCAAAATACAAAAATAAAACACTGTTACATACACATAGGTAATAACGACTTCTGAGGAGAGGCTCTTTAATGTACAAGTTAGTCTTTGTAACCGTGGCAGACTGCTAGCATCGACCCTCCATACACACTTTGAGCTATAATAATGTCAAAACACTAAAAACTATCTTTTGTAACTCTTATGTAAAATCTTATCTTACAGTGAATAGAAAACATGTACATAAAACAACATGAAGCAATCTTTTATTATTCAATTATTCAACATATGATTTACCGTAGAGTTGATACCAATAGCAGTATTGCCATTAAATATTTAATACAAACCTGACCTTTTTCAAACTAATAAATTAGCACTTTTCATAATATTATACTTAACATGAAATCTTGGGATTTTGAGCTGCATTTCTAAGAATATATATAATATTCATACACATCCCGTATCTCCTCTAAACAAATAACGTAAGCCATAGCTATCCAAAGTTACACAGATTGACTGTACACTGTTAATTCAAATAAGACCTTATTTAGGTCAAAGTGAAATTGATTCTGATTGAAAAAGACCCACAATAATATCAATCTCAATTTTTAATATAAAACTTAGGTAGATATTTCACTACAACAAGACAATCTCGAGTTAACATTTTGAAGAATTGTCACAGATAAATTAATATTACTATTACAAAAAAATATATTTAAAGAGTCTAAAATAATAAATAATGGTCAATGTTCTTTGGTAAGAGGGAATCAAGCGAGCCTACAAAGGAATTATGTCAACCGTATGTTGTCAACTCTTGGGTAAGTAAATATAAATGAGAAGAAATGAGTTAAAAAAAAAAACAAAAAAACGCGTTAATTAAGTACGCAAAATGGCAGACATGAAGAAGTCTTGAAATACGGAATGTGGAAACATGAAAGAAGATTATCTTAGCTTTCATAGCCAAAGCGATTTTATTATAATTATTATTATATTCTTTATTGCACTTTAAATGTGATACAGAAAAAAAAAATTTTTAAAATATTTAACATATTCTTTAAATATACAAAATTAGATATAAATTATATGACGAAAACTGCATAAATACATATTAATTTTTCAGGAATTAATCATTTATTATTTTTATAATTGCAATTAAGAATTTAAACATTTACTTAAGTCTTGGCCCTTGCAATAAAAGCTCAATTTAATAAAAAATATACTTAGTGATGTCCAAAGTGGACGCCGATAATAATATAAACAAGTGGCACAATTGCAATATAGAACATTGAATTTAAATGTTTACATCAGTATACATATATACATTCTCATTATGAATTACTAAAATAAAAATTACAGATAATTACAAAAATATAATTAAACATAACTTTTTTACTAATTAATGTTGCCAGTTAAAAAAAACCAAAGTTACTCATCAAATGTTTTCATAATAGAATATATATAGTATTTTTAATTTAATCAAGTAACCAAAATAACAAGTGGGTTTAGACAAAATAACATTCTACAATCGCCATTATTAATAGAAATCTAAATATATAAAAATGACATACAAATCTAAGCATTTTATGCCATTTCAATATATTTTCGATTTCTATTAGCGACATCGAGTGTAGGAAATCAAGTTATCTATAAGGGAAGGTTACTGATATGTCGATAGAGGAAAAAACCGATTAGTCACTGGCACCGTAAATAAATACACACAAATGTATACAACATTAACAACAAACAGTACACTTTTCATACAATATCCTTAATTATACGCGATTTATTTACATACTTAATTTTATAGAAGTGTTGCCTGTACATTTAAACATTAAGTCAATATATATGAAGAAGATATATTTGTGTTTTATCTAAGTCTAGAAATATCTATATTATACAAACCCTATATTTGTAAAATATTTACAGTGGTCTCAAAATTAACTAAACGTCATCATAAGTGATAAATCAATAAATTTATTTATCTAACGACTTGGTACACGTGGTAAGGTAGATAATAATAAATATTTTATTTTATATACAAAAAAATCTAACATTTAAAAAATGCTAAATCTAAGAATGTGTCACTCACGGTTATAAATAGTTTTTTTAATTTTTACAAAATCAAATACTGTAAATGGCAATACAGTACAAAAGACATTTGTTGCCAGTCTTTAGTGTTTTCAATTTAATTGTAGGTTTTTTATATAAGGAATAATTTTCAATAGTTGCACAATAGTATAAAATAAAAATATATTTTTCAAGAAAGTAAGACAGCGCTGCAGTTAATAAAATAACCAATTACATACTTAAAGCATGTCCTTTATTCATAATTATAAGGTATCTGAAGCATAATATATTAAAAAAAAAACAAATTATCTAATGTAAATGTCATATTAAAAAAACTAAATTATTTATTGCAGCACTGTTTACATCCCAATTATATTGTTTAATATTTCCCACACAATTTCATCTTTATGCAAACTAACAAGAATACTAATGTCGCACACCCATAATTTTGGGTATTTCACCAATTCTTTATCCATAAGCAAGTCTTCTAAGTACGCATTCAATGTCAAAATTCGTCAGATGAGATCTTGGGTCCAATGTTTGCAAAATTTAGCCATATTTTCATTTTCAAACATGATCCTTCAAAAGTTTATTTAAACTCATAACATTTTTGGAACATAAGTGACCCTTTCAACAACCTCTGAACTCACTCTCAAGCTTGGCTTTTGTTTTTCCTTAACAAATCTAGCTACTCTTTTCTATAATCATAATTTTAAGTGAACCCAAACTAAATAAGTAGTCAATGTAAAAATAAATCTGGCGAGTCAATTTTTTTCGGAGATTCAAAAACTGACGCTCGTCACATAAACAAATTGCTACTTTATAAGCTATAAAATTTCACTTATTCTATAAGATATTGCTCGTTCGTAATTATATTAAATGCGGGTTGTCTTGGACGCGTATTTTGTATATAAAATCAAACGTTAGGAACTGAAATATAACATCTGCGCTAACTAACTCCGTCTACTGAATATTTGGCACAAATCTATATATATGTATGTGTGTGTATATATATATATATATATATATATATACACATATATATGTATATATATATATATATATATATATATATATACATACGACAAGGTTACACATACATACGATAAGGTTTCTGCTGCCGCTCTCATGTCTGAACAGTGACAAACATTAAACAAAAAAATTGCAGCAAAAACCTAATATCGTAACAATAATTTTGTATCGATACGCGCATTCGAATCAGCTAAAATAAATTGAGGCAGATTTACGATTCAGTCGAAACCCGTTTGGAACCGCAATAAACGTGTCCGATACATTAAGATTCAGCAACAAAACAATGACGTCACAGAATCACAACACGGGGTCTAACTATGCACAACGAATCCGTCCGAGTAAGTCGCACGTCACAAATATACATAAATATAAAACTCTAATTACACCTATAGGTACTTACACGCTAGCCACTAGACACAGTACACTCACTCCTCGCACGACGCGGTCGCGCGTTGTGCGTAAATTGAATCTTTGGAATCCGGAGCTCGCAATGGGTTTTAAACTGACCTATTCCTAGAATAGGGAGTCAAAAGTGAGTCAGACGGAGATTTCGTAGTTGCAGTCGTAGACGGAGGCGCGGTCGGGCGGGGCGGGAGGCGGCGCGCGCTCGAGCTGGTCCTGCACCTCGAGCGCGCGAACGAAGGACAGGGGACGGGCGGGGCGCGGCGCGGGTGCGGGCGGGGGTGGGCGGCGGCGCGCGTGCGGCGACGGCGGCGCGCGCTCCGCCCACAGGTACGTGCCACGCTGCGGCGACGCGGCCAGCTCGCGCACGTCCTGCGCGGCCGTCGGGTGCGGCGCGACTGGCGCGTGCGGCGCGTGCGGCTCGCGCAGCAGCTCGCCCTCGGATAGGAAGCGGCGTTGCGGCGAGGCGCGCACGCCGATGAAGTCCGGGCGGCGCGGCTGCGTCGGCGTGCCCGGGTTGGACCTGTGCGCGGCGCTCACGTCAGGGGTTTAATCGCGCGAGCTCGTCCGAGCGCTCGCTATCTTTATCGTACGGCCTACGGACAGAAGGAGACGGGAGATGCGGGGGGAAGCGTCGCCGCCCCACGACTCGCGTTCAGAACTTCTCTCACTCGGGACCGATACGTGCGCACGCGCGGGCGCCGCCGCCGATACGTGCGCGCGTATCGCACGCGCTACGGTCTCGGGTTGAACAATGTTCAGTCAATATTATTGCTGGTTTTCATTATTTTTGTCTAATAGAGAAGCAGCTATGTCTATTTCATTACCCTTACTATACATATGTACATAATGATCTAAAAACTATTACCCCTTCAAAATTTAAGTTATATCCAATTATATTGGTTGAAAGGTCTCAGAAGCGAAATATGTAAAATCCTCAATGTAGACAATACTTTCATCCAAAGACCCAAAAACAAAAGATAATAATTCTTAAAATAGTATTAATCTTATTTTGTCAATATGCTATTTACATTACTATATAATTTACATTAAACTAAATATATTACATATTTCAATATTCCCATCACGGACGATGTCTAAGACCTCTCCACCATTCCCATGATTACCATCTCTATATTATAAGCTTTGACATCCAACATTGTTAAACCAGTAAGTAGCTTATAAGCATATAGCAAACTAGTTCTGAACGTGTGGAGCCTAGGCCAGCGGTTGCGGGGGGCATGCCAACGCCATGCTATATACACTATTCTACTCAAAACTACTGCAAGTCTTTATATCGCTAAATATCCTGACGAATACCTTATAGAAACTAACTCAATGAATGAATTCGATAAACACAACGTGTTTGTTATTTTGTCGACTGTTCAAATCTTTTTGTCGGCATATCAAAAGCATTCTTTTTTATATTATTTTTAGGTTTGTCTTCGAAAATCAAATAACACCGCGTACATCAGGGTTTATATCAACAGGATATCAAAGCGATATAGCGCAGGCGATAGTGTGACGAATATATAAAATGGCTGGAGATATTTAAAGGAAACTTTGAAAGAATTAGAATTTAGTGAATAAGAGGGCAAATATTTTAACTAAAGTACCTTAGAAAGCTTTGTTTGAATTTTTGAAGTTTCTTTTTTGGTAATCGAAAAACTACAATTTAATGTTTTGCCTGCTAAATATAAATAATTCATTTATAAGAAAAATAGTATAGATAAAAGAACACATCCTCTTGCATAGAGAGAGGTTATTTATATTTTAAAAAATCTACTTTATACAACAGATAGAATGTATAAAAAAATAATTTGAAAAAGTTTCCAAAGACCGAGTGCAGAATAAAAAAAAACAAATTTTCAAATTTCTACTAATTCTGAAATATCACAGATAATAAATATAAAACCATGCCCAATAGAATAAAGAAAGTGTAATAAGTATTTGTGTAAAAGGTCGTATTGTCTATGCCTATTACCCCTCTCTTGTCTCTGATCACAATCGGACCACAGATATACGATGGTATCCGATACCAGCCATTGTATACGTCGCGCTCCGCCCTTGCTCCGTTTGGGAACAACAGCTTGCAAATAAAATAGAAATGTACATGTTTAGTACCAATTGTGTAAACTCTGAATATAAAACAATAAATATAATATTAGTACCTAGATTTTTTTATGTTTCAGATATTAAGTTAGGATAGTTCTAAAGAAAAATCTAGACAGAATTTACACTTTCTAGACCATCTGTTAATAAATGAATAAAAAATCATAAATTTAAATCTTATAATAAAAACTATACTAGCTCAAAGGCAAAAAAAATTAAAGCAAATCAAATAATTCTTATAAAAAAAACCAAAACTTTATTAACAGATGGAAATTTTTAATGCAATCAAAAACATGCTCATAAATCATATGAAAATGTCACAGTGTAGATCTAAAAAAGACTAAAAGTAATATGAAGTTTCATTTGCATTTTGTATCAATTCAGCGTTGATATATAAAAAATTTGGCCTATAAAAAGCAACTAACTATTGCTATAGGCTATATAGAATTTCATAGAACACATGTGAGTTGGTGGAAAAGCTAAGATAGGTCGTTTTAATCAAACCATTCGACACCTATGATTCTGTTAGACCAACTGTTTGCTATTGGATTGAAAGATATCAATAAACCACTAAACCTACATAAAAAAAGTAATGTGAACAAAAGCACCTATACAGGCATTGTCTATTGTGTTTGATTTAGAAAAAAAAATCAACATTATAAAAAAAACAAATTTTAACACAAAAAAAAAACCACCAACCCACACAATGAAAATGTAAAACAAACACACGCACACACAAACAAAAAGCAAACACAAACGAGTTACCGTCGACACGTCGTCGGCTCTATGCGTTAGGTCCATCTGCCGCGGTAAGCGGTAAATTCACTTTATATTACATTTACACATAATACCACCACAGATATAAATAAACAGGCGTTGTTACCAACACACAAAACTAAGCCATTGAAATAATTCAAAATTGACCGACCAATCTCCTTCGTTTCTTCTCCATTCTGCGTGACATTGGCGAAGTAATGTATGCTCAACTGGCTCGCTTTGAAGCCATTAACAAGAAAATTGAATCGAAATCAAAATTTCTTTACAAGGAACTACATCCTGATTTTCAAAAATATAAAAAAATGGTGTTTAATTCTCGTTAAAGTTTATAATTATTTACTTTCAATGGAAGGTCTTTCTTCATCAGACATAGCTTAGATGGCGCCACCAGCGCATGACGTCAAGAAGATATTTTATTATGTTAAGATGGTTGTTCTAAATATTATCTTGAACTTTGAAAGGTTTTACATATATAGTAATGAACCTATCCCAAGTAAAGGCATATATCTGATAATAACCTAATCAGAGGTATAGCCAAGTTCACATTCCTTATTTTAAATTTTCTATAGACAATATGCTCTTAGCGCCATTGCCAGCGAAATTACGCAATGAGGTCTTCCATTTACTATAAAATATCAAATGATAAACAAGATTTTTAACTCTTAATTAAACGACATGTTTCCCAGGTATATTATAAACTATCTTTATTATTTTTAAATCTCTGTGTATAAGACTTATTTCAATGGCCCAACTTGTGAATTTGGGTTGATACATATTCCGTTCGACTTGGAGTGCATTATGCTAACGTACATACATATAAATAAGGAATAAGAACTACGTATGTTTTGGGCCTAAATATAGATATGATCAAAGTGACATGTTGAGATAGTTTTATAAAGATTTGCATACAGAAAATAAACTCGAATAAAATACAATGGTTTTATAATATAGTTTTTTATAATTATTATTTGAACAATTCGTCTTTTTCTTAAATATTCACAAATTTTCCCGTGGAACTTTTTTTTTGCATTTATTAAATAATTTTTATGATGAAAAAAACTAATCTTTTTTATTCCGAGAGCTGGCGACGAATTTTAGGAAGGTCTTTTTGGCAAGTTGAAATTGTGAAAAAATATAATTTCGTGAAGCCATAGGTGCGAGAAAGATAGCTTATTGAGGTATGCCAGCAGTTGATGGGGGCCCAAGGTTCTCTTAGAAAAAATACGGGCTTCTTTTTTTAAATTATATGAAAACTAAATTAAAAGATTAAATAAAGATCAAGTTGCCAAAAATATGTTTTTTTTTTTGTATTTTTTTGCAAGTGTTATATAATGCGCAGTACCGAAATAACCGCTAACGCTATACCAGACTCACGGGACTGGACTCGCCCATTTACGAAATTATATTTTTTCACAATTTCAACTTGCCAAAAGGACCTTCCCAAAATTCGTCACCAGCTCTCGGGCTATTTTAAGTTACTTCCCAACCTGCCACCCTGTATATGAAGCAACTTTGATATTCTTGTATGTTGTGTTGTATGTATGGAGTGAAGCTAAATGATTCTATAGGACTTATAATATTTATTTAACGCGAAGTGTTAAAAACATATGCGAGTATTACACCTTTAACTTACACCATTGTTAAGTTAGTTATGACTTTAAATATTTTTTCTTAAAGTGCACTGATAAGCTTATATTATGATGTAATAGATAATATGTGAATTTCTTGCGCTATATTTAGAACTTTTATTATTTTATAAGCACTATTTTACTTTATAGGCTTTTAATACTGTTTAAGCGGCATAATAATATATTTTCTGTTTAAAATAAAAAATAATCTATTTCTAGAAACCATTATTAAACAAATATCAAAAAAAGGTAAATTTAATAGGAGAAAAAAATTGTATCGCATCCTGTCAGAGTGCATGTATTAATTCTTAGGATTTTTTGTGCATGGGGTATATATTTAATTACCAATTAATTCTACAAACTTTTGGTCCTTCGAGCCGAAGTTTAGAAAACGGCTTAGAAATATTGTTATAAACAAATATTTGAGGTATAATGTATTTAGCTATAAAATTAAAGTCTTTTCGTCTTTTATTTCTCCCTTATAAATTAAAAATGTAGCAATTTAATATGTAAATTTATAGCGGAATTTCGGATAAAAATGAAGCGACGTACAACATAACTATACGTGAAACGACAAAACAGTTGTGTATCCAAAACAATAAACATGGCAATGTGTTGCAAAACATTATACATGCAAATTAAATATTTAAAGTTCTCATTCAGAAACGTTTCTAATGATCGATAATCACTATAAAACATATATATTATCAAAAATAGTTTTTTAGAAACGTCCATGATTAAGAACTTGACACCAAATAAATAAAACAGATAAGCGATGCATATTGGAGAGGGAGTTAATATTCCAGAACATTTTAGTTATGCGATGGGAAGAGGCCATGTAAAATAAATACCTAGTCTATGGTAAATCTTCTTGTTCGCCAATTAATCCAATACAAATTTTGAGCTAGCAACATTTAAGCGTATCCAATATGAAAGGCGTGGACACCCAATATTAATTGCTATATTTTTATTCTACTCGAGCGGGAACGCAAAGACATTTAAGTTTCCGCATCAAACATTAATTTATCATATAAGATGTTTTTGAGCCAATTTTTGTGTTTGGAAATTAAAAATTTGCTTATGTTAACTACAAGTGTCGTACTCATTGTAAAGATACGTTGTAAGTTCTTTGAATTCCCGCTCACATATAAATTACGCGATTAAAAAAAAATATCGTGGTATTATTATACATTTGAAAAGACAATACAATCAAATTATTTATCACTAAACTAAACCTTTCAACTACATTCATTCTTAAATAAATAAAATTATAAAAAATATAAAATGAAATAAACAAAATCATTCACAATAACAAACCAAACCATTCATTCAAATCATTCTTTCAAATTCATCAACATAACATACAAAAAAAACTCAAAAACATATTTTCTAACTTATTAATACTTCAAACTTATCAATCATAAAATCCTCACCAACCGAAACCAAATATCACAACTCATCCATTACAAACCGCAACCTATCAACCATCATCAACCGCACAACCATCATCAACCGCTCAACCATCGTCAACGTATCAACCGTCATCAACCTACCTCCTGACGGGGCTGTTGACGGCGAGCGGCGTGGGCACGCCCAGCGCCTTAATGCGCTGCTGCATGGTGGGCGACGGCCGCGCGCCGCCGTTGGCGCCCGCGTCGTATCTGAGCGGCTCCATCACTACTCGGTAGCCAGAGGTCGTTGTGCCGCCGTGACTGTTGGCATATTGTTTGTTTTTTTTATGTTGAAAGAAATTCTTTTTGGGACAAGCATAAAATTTAAGTTTCATCTGAAAATGTCATCTCAAGACTTTTAAACTTGACATGAAAAAAAGCTTGTTGAAGAAGAGAAGATGTTTACAAGATGTCTTTGGTGGTTTATTACCTATCACACTATAACTATTCCATATACGCTTGAGATGTGTTTTCGAGTTTATATATAACCACAGCGGCACTCTTTATTCTTTTTACTCTCACGTTCTGTACAACCAACACCCTTAGCGTACAAATTTATTTATCAACTAATTGAACCCAGGGCTACCAGCGTAATATATAACATTACTAAACATCATCGTTTGAGACTCTCTAGATTTATTATATATACTATATGTATGTGACAAAACTCGGTGTATATTTTTACTCGATTACAGCACAGCTGGACGGCTTTGCGTAAAATTCAGTACACAGACTATAACCTGGAACAACACATAGGCTACCTAGTGATGCATCCTAGCTAATAAGGTCGTTAGTGACATATAAAAAGCTAAATCCAAAACTCACCTCGTATTCCTAGAGAGCGGGCTCAACCTCGGGTAATGGTGTGGCCGCGGGGGCAGGTGGTGGTGAGGCTCCGCCGGTGGAAACAGGTTGGCCGAGGAGCCCCGGCGCTGCAGGGGCGGGGGCGTGGGCTCGCAGTCCGCCGACTGGGAAGCCCCGGGGCCCTCCAGCTCGCCCTCGTGCTCTTCTCGCCCGGGCGATAACTGTGGAGTGGGGGTTATGGATGTGGTTTATGGGTTTAAGGAATGTAGGTTTTAGGTGTCATTTTTTTATATTTTTGTCGACATTTAGAGAGCATTTGTGTTCTCTTATTTATATAGCATATAAATTATAGAAGTTGTTTTAGTCTGATTAAGGTTTCAGATAACGCTTCATAGAAAAGAGTTAATTTAGATTGCTCATTGACATATTTCTTAAAAAGAAATTGTACGCCTAATTAACCCTAAAAATGACCATTTAAAATTTAAAATCATTTTACTTATTAAAAATAAAAATATAACAGTGTGTTAATCCGAAAGTATCAAAAACCTTTTCGTTACAGATTATTTATATGAGAAATTAATTATTTCAATTAAAATAGTGTTGAAAAATTATGACAAATACATGAAATACAAAGCTTTAAAAGATCCGTCTTAAAGGCAATTTGAAAAATAACTTAAAAAAAAACAAACAAATAAATTAATAGTAATTTAGACGAAACCTGTTGTCAAAACAAATACACTTTAAATAAGAAATAGTGCTCGACGTGAAAATTAATGTACAAATATAATATAATTAATTATTAATTAAAAGAAAAAAAAATGTATTTTTAAAAGTAAAATATTAGAGAGCCAGACATACCATGTCTTCAATTCACATTTTCCAAATAATAAAAATTAACATCAAATATATATTTTTTAATATTTAGTGAATTGAAGGTATGTAATTGCTCTACAAGCGTGATAACTAAATGGAAGTTTCTAGAGGATGTTTTGGCTGTTTTACTAATGAAGCGTGATAAAAAAGTAATGAAAGACCACATCTATATACTGCTACTATCTATTCTATTATTATAAAGAGGAAAAATTTGTTTTTTTGCTTGTTTGTGTGTATCGAATAGGCTCCGAAACTACTGAACCGATTTAGATGAAATTTGGTAAAAAGATAGTTTGGACCCTGGGATGGATATAAGATAGTTTTTATCCCGGAAATTATCCCTTAAGGGAGTGAATGTTTGTATGGGGAAGCAACCTAAGGACGAACCCGAGCGAAGCGAGGGTGAGTCATTAGTCCTATATATCTTTATTATTACTGCCTTGTATATTTCTGTTAAGACCACAAACATGTCATGACATGGGGAAGTCCGTTATAATATACATATATATTTAGATCTACTCAGCCAATAGAAAAGAAACTTACATAGCTATGTTATAATATGTCGTCGTTTCAGTGCTATGTGTTCAAACGATTAACCGAAAGAGTTTTTAATAAAGAATGATTGAGTTTTAAATGTCAATTCTATTGGTATAAAATATAAATTTTACTATAAGGAAGCTGGCAAAATGTATTTTATCTACATATATAAATAGAAAAATCTTAAAAATAAATCTTTCAAATAAAACTATCTTTTCGGATTTTTTCACGGATTTATTTTGATTTTTGGTTCCCGGCATTTCGTCTGCTTTACTTGAACCGTTCACGGGAGAGACTCAGGAACGTCGAGACCCAAAAATCAAAACAAAAGCGCAAAAAAAATCCGAAAAGATTTTTTTTGTTTTATTTAAAATATCAAATATTCGCGTAAATATAGTAAAGTATTAATTAAATAAAGCTTTATTTCGAAATTGGAGGTAAAAACTCTTTCTGTAAAGACAACTAATATTGGTGGTGTGAACAAATAAGCATTAAGGCGACGATATGGTAGTATCTGTACAACAAAAATATATAATCTGTGACTGAAATTCATTCAGCCTTCCTCGAATGATATCCGATTAAACTGAGAAATATCCGTTGACTTTCAGCTTTTATGTCATCCCAAACATGTTCCAACAATTTTATCCAAGCATAACACATTATTTTTTTTAGATAATAATTAATTAAATATTAGCAATAATTTGAATCATATAACTACACTATTATTAGTATAGAAAACATGTACACAAATTATATGGAAAAGAAATACGTTTCAGCATGGAACGTCAAAACATTGCTTTTGAAAATACCACATATACTATACTAAAAGACAGTGTTTTCTTAAGAATATGCATTTATGTAACACTTAGTTTTTACTCCCGGCTTCGCTTACATGGTAAGCGTGGGTATCATAACTATCCCAATAATGCAATCTCCAATTTTCTTCATAAGTCGTTCAGCGTTTTTAATTAGAAAAACAGACAGACTAGAGGTACTTTCACATTAATATTATTAATATAGATTTTAAGATTCTTTTCAGTAAGGTTAAAAATACATACTTTATTTATAGGTGGTCAATGAAAGCTAAGCTCATTTTAAGTAAACAAGACCGGGTTAATTCTATTGTCAATGTGCATATTCCCTAGTCACTATTTAGTCTGTGTATTGTACACAGACTTTGTAAAAGTTTGTAAAAGTATCAACCGATGACAAAGCAAAAACATTACTTTCATTTTCATTCTATCAACATCTGAGGTAATAGTAGTATGATATAATTAGACTTGTAAAATTATGCCGTTATTTGGTTTTAGTTTTAGTTATAGTCTTAAACAAACTTAAGAAAACAAAGTCTAGTTCTAGTCTAGCCTGAAACAATATATCTAGCATCGCATTATCTATTAGGTGTTGCTGGAAATAGCAAAATCATAATGTTGTAATTTGTGTGGTAATAAATTACTCTATTTTTTGCAAAACATAAATTAATTAATTTTTAACAAATATTATATAAATATAGACTATAAATATTTATGGAGTTGTAATTAGTTATTGCAATAATTAACCTACACATCAACAATTACAATCCAAAAACAAAACTAAAACCCAAAACCAATTCCCAAAAAAACTACCAAACCTAAAAACCTACCAAAAACAAAAACTACCATTCCTACTAAACTACCATTCCCAGCAACACCCTCACAGTTCACACACGTACACGTACACACGCAGTCTGGCTCTCACCTTGTTGTAGTGCGCATGCGCACCCATCGGGCGGTGCGCGGTCCCATTGTCTGCTGTGTACGTCTTTACCTGCGCGTGGTGTTGCGTGTCTGCTATCGTCGATATAACCGCGCCTTCGCGGCGTTTCTTGCCCTTGTATATGTATTTGGACGGACGGACCAGGCTGGAATGTTTTGATATATATGTTAGATTTAGTACAATTGAAGATACAAGTTTACGAGTACTTTTGTTTTTATATAGACAATTTTATTGTGAACTAATCTATTCGGATATTCATCCGAATCCGTTAACCCGTGAAAAAAAATAACGCTCTCGTTGGGGTATTGTTTTAAGACAATAATAAATATAGGAAAGGATATGAAAAAAAATCTATATCACTATTATTTGAGTCTTTTATCGGCCTATCGTTGGCTGATAGACGTTCCCCATAGAAATCGGTTAAGTCATTTCTGAGACTACCTAGTACAAACAGGGACAAGCACTTTTTCCAAACCTTTGCATGAGCTTTTAGGCCGGCATAATCACAATATTAGTTCTATACTAAGTAATATAGGAAACTACGTACGTTTATAATACCTCTTAGTTTTTTCACTATCTCTACGCAACAAATTATAAGAATAGAAATACAAACAAACCGATATTTCATTAATACGATATATTTTTATACAAAATAACATAATAATTATATATAATGTAAAGTTTAAAATACACAGAGTGAACAAACTTACACACAAATTTACTGTCGCTTCGTATCATGGAACGTCATATTCGATACGTCGATTTTTTAACCTATGATACGTATTATATTAAAAGGAGTTAATAAATACTATGTTTATGAAAGACGACAAGAAACTTATTGCATAAATTCAAAAATATTTGCAAAATTTTCACCTTTTTTTTTGAGATCCCTATAGGCGTATATTATTTTTTACTTATAAAAAAATAGCGTTGCAGATTCGATTCTCTATCTAGATTAATGGTAGATAAATAAAAATTCTAGTTTATTGGAAAAAGCATATATATTACGAGAATGCAGTTCGCATTCGGATCCGGTAGATATCCTATTCAAGTGCTTTTAAGTTTAGATAACAAATTATTCATCACAATTTCAATTTGACGACACGTTTGCTTAGATTGTAGTGACCCTACTTGCTATGCCAGCGGTCACGGGTTCCAGTCCCGCTGATGGCATTCATTTGTGATGAGCACGAATGTTTGTACTCCAGTCATAGGTGTTTATATTTATAACATGTATGTATTTAAAGTTATATATGTGTAGTGTATCAACTATTAAGTATCCATAACACAGGCCACGTTACTCACCATGGAACTAGATGATGCTGTGTGTTAATGTCCCAACATATTTATTTATTTATATTTAATTCCCTCTCACCTAGGATACTGCGGTCCAAATTGCGTATAACAACAGTTATACCAGCATCCCTTCGAGAAGGGGTTGTAGCCCCCGGTGAACTTGCCCGTCACCTGCTCGTTGGTGGTGCGCCCCCTCGACACCAGCACCATGTGGAAGCCGGTCAGACCGAAGATTGGGATCGCGAGGAGGGCTATTATGCCCATTATTACCATTCTGATTGGAGGGTTAGGATGTTATTGTTTTTTGTTTACGTTTTTTTTACAATGAGATTTACTTTACACGTTCATTTTATCTAATTGCTTTTAAAATCTAAAGTCTATTATTTTTATTATTGTAATACGGTAGTATCTTGTAGGCATTAGATGACTTTCACATTTTTAATAACACGTAAACCCCCAGAAGGGTCGATTTTGCACGATTTTGAACTAAGAAAGTTAAACTATCGGACCAGTTTATTTTGCAAAATGTTCATTAATTTTAACCTTCCAACATATCACTCTCTTACATTCCCTCTTTTATTTTGTGAAAACTATATAAAAATACCTACAGTAGTTTCTGAGATAAGCCGGAAAATATTAACTTAGAGCAGTGAGAAACTTTATGTATAACTAGCATTGCCCGCGGCTCCGCCCGCGTTCAGATGACCAAAAACTAAATTATTAGGTGTTACATATTAGTATACTCTTACATTGCAGTTTTTGTATTTTTCCTCAGAAATAAGATATTTTCCTGCGGTAAAAAGTATCCTAGGATCGCGCGCTACATCGCCCGGTTTATATAGCTTGAGCAGGCGGTCGAGCGATGCGGGGCAGAGGGGATGGACTCGCCGTAGGCATCTCAATGCTCGCCAAGCATTAAAAATGTTTCGCTACTAATTACTTCTAACAACGATATCTCAAAAACTATTCATCTGATTGATTTAGTGTAAAGAGCAATTTTAATCTGCATTAAATGACTAAGCTAACTAAAATATTCATTTGGATAAGGATTAATACCGAACTAAAGAAAATAACTTTGAAAATAACGTAATGTTTTTAATTAAAAATGTTAACATAAAAGTGGTTATTGTAAGTCAACCGTAAGAGATAGAGATATGCTATCGCGGACTTTTTTGTAGCATTTTTATAGATTTTGAATTCTCTAGTACATTACTTAACTGTATCTTTGCTAGTTTACGCGGCGTTCGCGTGGAAAGTTCCCATTTGGCGAGATTTTTTGCGACCTCTTCAACATTTGTCGCCGTATTTCAGCTAATTTACATAAAAGCATAATAAATTATATACCTAAACCTTCCTCAAGAATTACTCTTTCTATTGTTGAAAACCGTATAAAAATCCGTTCAGTAGTTTTCGAGTTTATCGCGTACAGACAGACAGGAGGACAGAAAGACGCGGCCGGGGGACTTATTTTTATAATAAGTATAGATATGTATTGATTAGATAAAATTTCTGACAAAGTTAACATTTAACAAACATATACATTATTTTTAAGTTAAAATCTACACAATAAAAAAACAACACATAGATAAAAATAAAGAATAAATATAAATCACGGTTTTCCGTCTAGCTTAACATCCAAACCAAACTTTAACGGTAAAAAAAATATTCATTTAAAAAGGATACGACACAATAGGCTCGACTTGCGTGAGTGTCTTATTATTATTCATGATGTAGTATAAACTGAGGCCGAATATACTCAACATATGTATGGACAATGATATGAGAAAAAAGAAAAAGAATCTGTAGTTCCGCCGCCCGATGCAATTGTTCACCCATGGACAGTGATGGTCGAACGTCTGGAAAAACGACGATAACATATTTATATATATAAAAGAAAGTCGTGTTAGTTACTTCGCTTATAACTCAAGAACGGCTGAACCGATTTAGCTGAAAATTGGCAGGGAGGTAGTTTAGAGCCAGGAGAAGGACATAGGATACTTTTTATCCCGTTCGACCGCGTTCCAATTTTTATGATATTTTAATTTTTGGATTTCTCTTAGTCCGGAATAGGTAAGTATTAAAACATATAATTAAAATGTGAGAAAGAAAGATTTTTTCTTTTTATATCTATTTAAAACGTACCTAGCGACGAACCCGAGCGAAGCGAGGGTGAGCCGCTAGTTTTAAATAAAACTATCTTTTCGGATTCTTTCGCAGATATATTTTGATTTTTGGTTCCCGACGTTTCGAATGCTTTACAGCAATAGCTCATGATTTAAATTTTATGGTCTTGCCTCACTAACAAATACTTTTTTAACCACAGCGAAAGGACCTTACTCACAAGTGGCGTCAACTGGTGCCACCAGAAACGATAGCCCTTACACTACGCTTTACAAATTTGTATGTCTGTCCATGAATGTGTGCATCGTATCACTACCTTCCTTCAATGAAAGGCAGACAAAAATTCTTTCATTTTCTACAAAAAATCGATTTCTACTCATCATTTCGTTACCATTTACAAATAATCAAAACAATCCGTGAGATACAAAAATAAGACACGATCGTTCTCCCACGCCCCGAAATGGATCTTGATTTAGAATTAATGGATCGAGATTGGGTCAATACTTGACCAGGAAAAGCCTTACCTCCCCGTGAATTGACCAAAAGTATAGAAAATAGAAGGGTGCGATTATACTCATTATTGCTATACTAATTTGTAATTGAAGAAAGCAATAATTGCGCCAACAATACGCAATAATTGACCAACATCCCTACCTCTATACAATGATTGCACACGGAGCAGTGCGAGCAGCGCGGCGGCCGGTAGAATTTGCACGTGACGCACCATTTCATGCGCACAGTGATGCCGTTGATCTCCACGCTGCGGTACAGTGGCGCTCGAAAGTCGTCCTCGCGGTCCTCGTCAGGTGGAGCTGAAAAGATCACTCTTCTTAAATATTATGTTACCAATCTTAATACTATCTTTAATAATTATTATAAAACACTTTATTGTACCTATACCGTACAAAAACAAAAAAAAACACAATGATGTACAGCAGGCGGCCATCTCGCACAAAACTATACTTTTATCTTATAAAAGCAAATGTGGATTTGTAGATTTGTAATTTGTCCTCTCCTATTACGCAAAACAGAAGAACAGGTTCGGGTATTTTTCAAGCATATAGATATTCCCGACCATAGCAAGTGCTCAACTAAATTGGATGGAACTTTTCTTTTTTCTGATGAATATAATTAAAAAATATAAATTATAATCAAGAACTTAAAGACTAGTTGGATATAGGTACCTATATCTATATATAAAATAAAAAGCATAGATAAAAAATGGAACAGCTCTATAAAATTTCGTACTTAGGCTTGGATATTATATTTTCATTGTGGCACTACTATTTAAAATAAAATGCGAAATTTCTATGCGTGTGTGTATGTATGATTGTGTACGTTTGTTTTTTTACTCTAATACGGTTGGACGGATTTGAATAAATAAATAAATATGTTGGGACATTAACACACAGCGCCATCTAGTTCCATAAGCTACGATGCTTGTGTTATGGATACCAGATAGTTCATACACTACACATATATAACTTTAAATACATACATATTATAAATATAAACACCCATGACTGGAGTACAAACATTCGTCATTACACAAATGATTGCCCCCAGCGGGACTCGAACCCGCGACCGCTGGCACAGCAAGTAGGGTCACTACAAACTGACCCAAACGTGTCGTCAAACTTACTGGAATAATAATATATAGCCTACTATTAGGCACTCAGTGACGGACCAAAGCAAAGCTAAAATAAATCGCTAGTTTATAAATAATGTTACCTAAACACACTAAGTTTATTCGGAGTTTAAGAATAAGTTTTGTCAATTCATAATATGTGAGCAATACAAAGTCCAAGAGAAGACAGCTCTATAATTCACTACAATTTGAAAAGTCACTACTACGTTATTTTCATTGTAAATCGATATTCATAAATACTATAAAACTGGCGGCTCACCCTCGTTTCGCTTGGGTCCGCCTCTAGAAAAACAAAAACAAATCTATCCTACGGAAACCGTACATTTTTCCTTGATAAAAAGAAACTTGTGTTATTTTGATATATCAGCTATATTACTGTGAAGGTTCATTAAAATCCATTCAGTAGTTTTTGCGTAAAATAATAACAAACATCCATACATCTATACATCCAGACATACATACATCTTCAATTCTATTAGTAGGATTGAATAAAAAAAAGCAAAACGTATTTAAGCGACGTTTTGTATCTTACAGGATTACAGATACGCTTACACGCCTCCACGTAAAGTGAGGTCTAGGCATAAAATAATTACCTATATCAAAATCTACCTACATATATCAAATGTTCTAACTAAGTGAGTCATAATAATAATGCCAGCGTCTACCTATCAATTAACTTTATTGATAGATACAGATATCGAAAGTACCTACCTGTTATATCACAATTTAATTATTATACTAGCGATTCACCCTCGCTCCACTCGGGTTCGTCCCTAGATACGTTTTAACGGTTAGTATAGATTTCTCGGAGATGAGATATTTTCCCACAGTAAAAAGTATCATATATGTTGACCCGGATAACCAGCTATCATCATACCTAATTTCATCAAAATCCGTCCAGTGGTTTTCTCGTGATGACAGGTCAGACAGACAGACAAAAATTCTAAAATTATAGATTCGGCCTCTGTATCAATAATTATAACTATTTCAATAAGATTTTCCAAAAAATATTTAATTCAAATCATTTTAAATAAAACTATCTTTTCGGATTACTTCGCGGATTTATTTTGATTTTTGGTTCTAAGAAAGTATTAATTCGAATCAGTTAGAATTTTATTATATTTATAGACAATACTACCGAATCACTAATGTCGTCTCTTAGTCTAACAAACATACAAACACGCACAATACTAACACAAATTACAATAGTAGTTCTCAACAAAGGTTTTGGCAAATAATCACAAATATGTGAACTCATAATAATTACAAAAGTATTATACATACATATATTAACTAAACAAAACAAGGACAAGAATGAAACACAATTCACGTTAATAGAATTCTGGGGCATCGTAAGAAGGTAGGTAACAATGTCGTGCAGTGTGGCGCCGCGTAATGCAATCAAGAATCAAGATGCAAATGTGTTTTGTGCAATTTGCTAAATCAATATCTATGTCAAACAGTCCCCACAACCCGGGTTAATTGCTGTCTCCATTAGACCGTGAATCTTACTCGATCGTTACTTTCAAGTTCATTTTTTCCACTTTAGTATTAGAAATAACGGCTTTACATCGTTATAGTATATAATGAGCTTGTTAATAATAATCTAGTGAGTGAGAATAAAGTTAAAGAATATAATATATTAAAACATAATAGACGTAGTATAATACAGTGGCCACCATGCCAGAGTTTGGGGGAGACAGTGAATCATTGACCAATGTCGATCTATATTTCTCCTAATTTGTCTTAAGTGTGAAGTTTAATAACGTTCAAAAACGAGAACCTTCATACTAACTAGCATGATAAGATTCAATATGTACTCTTCCAAACTATAGTATAAACAAATCGGTTTCGTTTAAAGAAGTCATATTAGGTGTTTAAAATAAAGTGAAGTATCAATATATGCTCGTTATTCCGAAACATAAACACATGTACATGATAAAATAATTTTGAAACACGCAAGAGTGTGTTGGTTAGTGGCGATATTATAGACAGATTCACCACAGATCTTGAGAAGAAAACAACAACTGTTCCATCCAGAGTGGTTCCATATAAAGGTAGCAAGAGCTAAGTGCCATCATCTATTAAATGCTAATATTGATACTTTTGAGAAGGCAGACGCCTCATTCAATAGCCTCAAACCCCATCCAAACTCCATTCTATGGTTGTATTTAGTTTTCCATATTCCCCATAGTTTCTACACTTTAACTTTGAGCAATTTCCCATTATTCAGAGATGAAACACGGCTGTTGCTGTATATTAAAACTAAATGCAAGCCTTAAAACTTAAAAGGGACTGGGCTCATTGGAGCCTACGTAGTCAAGAGATATAAATATTATCTAATAATAATATAATCCAGCCTCACGATCTTTTCCTTTACATGAAACTGAGATTATCATATCTTCTTTATAATATTTCTTTATAATATTTAATTCTTTATAATTTTGCTGCGACACAGTTTATACTAATGCAGCTACTTACGATCTAAATGTTTTTAATATGTATGTTATTATGTTCAATAAAAATCTTTAAATCTTTAAAAAAAAAATCTTTAAAATATAAAAATCTATAATATAAAAATGAATCGCTGAATGTGTTGGTAAGCACAAATCTCGAGAGCAGCTGAACCGATTTCGCTAATTCTTTTTTTAGAATATTTCTTGAAGTACGAGGATGGTACTTACGGAGAGAAAAATTTAAAAAATTGCCAGATAGAGTCTAAAAACAACACTTTTTTATACTCCCATACAAAAGATTCGTAATAATACTTAAAAGTCAATTTGAACTTTAATACCATAACATAAAGTTTAAAGTGTTAGTGGAGAGGTTCCGGGAAGGCAAAACATTGATGGCAATTGAGTGACATTAGAATCGTATCAATATTAATGTCAATATTTGTCAATATTATTAACAAAAAAAAATTATATGGCTAATGCTGGCTAATAACTATTTATATCTATTTAAAACGTACCTCGCGACGAACCCGAGCGAAGCGAGGGTGAGCCGCTAGTGAAAATATAAAAAAAAGAGATTTAAACCAATAGCGATTCCAATAGGCTACCACGGCCTATTATTAAGCGTGAAGATGAATATAAACGTCAAAACATATCCGATGATACCCATTGTTTTGAGTTAAAAGCATACAAATTGTAAGAATGCTGCACGTGAGATGTAATCTTAGAATTTACCAAACTCGTTATAACTGGGCACCTACACCTGATTCTAACTTAGGTAACCTACCTGCTTAGTAATTCCCATGTAGTGCATCTAGTACCTACTGCCTTTGTTAAATACTTGTAAACATTGAAAAGACATATTATGAAATTTGTTTACATACTTATAATTCTATAGTGAAAACACGTAATCCTTCTGGGAAAAAACATTATTCATTACATAATTACCATTAAAGTTCGTGACATATACAAAGATATAGCCTTTCATAGAAATAATTAAACGAACCAATGTTATTTTGGTTCTGCATTTCGACTCGCTACCTATTCTGCACGCAAGCCCAAACGGATTCTTTGTTATTTCCTCTACCAATGTGGATACGAAAAAAAGGTATTTCATTTGAAAAAATATATACAATTAAAAAAGATGCCTACGCATTCACCTATAAAAGTCGGAAAATAAGGCTTTAATATTTCATAGACTCCTACAGAGATTGAACCCACGACCAAGTTGCAATAAACAACATGAAACATCATTTGTTATACCTATTTTAATTGAAAAAAAGTTCATTGTAAGCGAAAGTATGAAGCTATTCTTTCCATTATTAATTAACTTGTGTATTTGCCCGTTCTCGGCTGTTGTTCTTTACAATCATTATTATTATAAAAGTTATATAAAAGGAATGAATTTAATGATGACCTAATTATTTACATTACTACTTGACGAAAGTCCACCAACATCATTTTTTTTATTGATAACACTAAATCTTGCCAATAGCTAATAAAAAAAAGAGTCAAGTGCGAGTCGAATTCGCACACGAAGTACTCTGTTTACGTAGTATATGAACTTTGTTGATCGATTACGAACGTTATAAAAATGTGTCTTGCATTTTTATTTTTATAATTGTTGTTATAGCGACAATAGAAATACATACTCAGTGAAAAATTCAACTCTCTACCTATCACGGTTCATGAGATACAGCTCTGACAGACG